CCACCTGAGCAGGGACCTTGCTGTGTCTGATTACTGTCTGTGTTCTTGTGTTCTCAGGTGCTTCTCAACAAAGCCAAACAGACACACAGACATACAAGAAGAAAACACCCCAAAATTACAGTTTTAGTTAACATAAAACTGACTTGGTTTATGCATATCATCAGATCCCAATGGCCGAGATAGATGGTCATAATGTCAATCAGGGGATTGTCTGGTCCAGATTTGATTATAAACTGACCATCAGATATCTGGAATATTGCTGATTGTGTGGTGTTCAAGAACAAACAATCCAAAGTACAAAGGCTTCTGCAGTGATGGTTATCAGTCTGAATTCAGGTTATTGGCCTTAACAAGCCATGAATTTCATGCACCTATTAGACAGTACAGATATGCAACTACATTGTGCAAGGTTATGTTTATACTTCAATGCTCTTTCATTGCAGTACACAACAGCACACTGCTTATCACATACTTTGTTTGTTTCTCATCTCAAACATCAACCAGCACGAAGGTGGGCATTTGAAAAACACTAAATATAAATACAAACATCCAAAAATCTGGGGTTTTTTCCACCAATTGTATAAATATTTCATGACATATATTAAATTTAGCACTTGTTAATTGTCTTTAAATAAAGTAAAAGAAATCAAGTTGTTCTGCTTCAGAAACAATCTTTTTTTAAATGTAGATACAGAAAGATCCACCTGGCCTGGTTTTTGTTATGAGTGAGTTAGTATGGTTTTATGCCGCTTGTAGCAATATTCCAGCAAAATCATGGCAGGAGATACCAGAAATGGGCTTCACACATTGTACCCATGTAGGAAATCGAACCCGGGACGAGCAGATGCTTTAACCACTAGGCTACCACCACCCCTTTTTACAAGTGCTCAAGGGTAAGAGTTATTATTACATCAGTGTACAAATTCCTTAGCAGTACTGAAAATAGAGATAAAAAAACCTGTACTAGTCAAAGTCAGAATGAAAATTCAGGGCAGGCAGCAGATGGGCAACACAGGAAATAATATGGACTGCCTTACAGGGGAGAATGGCAAAAACTATCAACTGACATTACCAACTGACATTATCAGTAACAGCTCCTAACTAATTAAACAACAAGTGTTTCTCAGGTTCATGTTGGGTCAAGACCTGCCCATCCCAACAGATGCTAATGATGATGCAGAGATCATACAAAACAAGAACAAATCCAAGCCTTGTTCCCATCATCTGAAACTGAGGAGTTTGGATTCTACACGCAAACACCTGAATGGTTCACCAGTCACATTGCTACAATCAGAAGCTAAATCAACATTCTCCAAAATATTTCTCAAAGTGACGAGTCAATTCCAAGTTCTCCTTTGCAGCTCAGAGAAAATATATACAAGAACTCTCTTAAGTAGAACTCACAAAATAAAACAACTTTAAACTGTACAAACACATGAAATACCCAGATCAGTACTGATGAATAATAGTATTAATAGAACAAACGTAGTAAGGACAGAGTAACACAGTTTGAATGTGTTACAGACACAATCTTCAAGCAGGAGACAAAATTCAAATGATAAAAAATCAGAGTGTTCAGTTAAGTTCCAAAAAACAATCATTGTGTAAAAGTTACTACAAAAATGCCAACAAAATGATGTGAGAAAACTCTACAAAGCAAATAATTAACTGATATGGAGTCGGTCAGATATATTTAGATTGATCTACATTGAATATCTTATGAGATGTGTTGCAAATTGTAAAAGACTTTCTTTGATGCACTATACACGCAGATTGAAAACGATATGTCTTAGTCATGCAAATTTACTCCCAACCTCAATACCAGTTCCAGACAGAGAAATGTTGTGTACAGATGGCAGCAGGAACAACTACAAGGTTTGTGTGAGATCTTGGTGCAGGGGCAGTTCACACACCAAACACACTTCTGTTCGTGTTGTTGAAGCGGACTCTGAATTATATCAACTATATGATGGCACAGTCAATAATTATGTCTACTGAAACTTCAGTTCAAATCTCTGAATTATTCCAACTATATGATGGCACAGTAAATAATTATGTCTACTGAAACTTCAGTTCAAATCTCTGAAATATTTTTCAAGGGAAACAAAGACATAAGAAGCAATAACTGATTGGTTGCAATAAACAGATCATCAGCAAAGATCAATGAGCGATTCCCAACCAACTCAAACACTAAAACAACAATGACTAAATAATGAAATCTGGTCAAAAACAATGGCTGATAGCATGAGCAACAGTCCATGTTGTGATGACCAGACAACAGGTCCTACATTAGAACCACCACCCAATCCTCATTACAAGACATGTGGTACTTGGGACCTATTTCACCCTTGAGGCTTCAAGGGCTTACTTGGACAACAGAAGCTACTTGTTCTTGATCATAATTCTTCAAACTTCAGTATCATATATGTTGTTTCTAAAATTGAATTGAACTGTTTGATGTAACCCTGTATCCAAGCATTAAAGGCACAGAGTTGATTTCAGTCAGAGTTCAATCTAAACACAGTAAATTCCATCGTATTTGTCATGTTTCCCGGGTTCCAGAACAGTTTGTAGCAAATGTCAACTCTGCCTATTCTAGAGAGAAACACGCAATAAGAGGAAAGAGGTACCAGATCAATCGCCACAATATTGGCCCTTCAAGTTGTTGTTGCATAAAAAGATACCTTCTTTTTAAGTTCACTTCCCAGTTGGCAACTGTTGGTGAAATCTGAGTTTATTATACAGAGCCAACCATTGAATCATACAGTTTCAGAGGAAAAGTAAAACTTCTTCAAAATCAATAGAGGACACCAATCAGTGGTAACTGAAACCCTGACTCCATTGTATTACAAGTAGAAAACTAAAACGCAGCTAAAGACACTCATCATATCTCTTCCAGGAGTAAGCTGCTTCAGACATGATCATGGCGATAACAAACATTAAGTTTTTAAGAGATACTATTTGCCAGAGAAAAAATAGGTTCAATAAGATTCTAGAACATAAATCTGGAAAAATATCCTCTTTGCGAAATCCTGTCTGGGAATGACAAAGGTAACTCATGTCGCCATGGTAACCACATATATGTTCAAACGAAAAACAATTAATCTAGGAAAGTCAAATCTAGATCATAAGATCTATATGCCCCAAAGGTTAAAAGGTCAATGATAAACAACACTAGCGACAAGACCCACCAATGATGAAGATAATCCTTTTGTAGGGTTTCAAAATTCACAAATATTTCCGAAATGTTCTTCCAGATTAGATACTATACAGCTTCCACTAGCTCCAGTGATTGTTCCTGGAAATGTGACGTGCCGTCCCATCAAACATCAAAACACTTGGGGAAAAAAAGGAAGATCAATTTTCTGACTTCCTTCAAAGCAAGTGTTCAGTAATATTTCAAATCAATACACTACTACAAACAAAATGTTTTCAAAAAGAAATCTGTCCAAACACACCGATGTATCTAACTCTGCCATTCCTGCACTTACTTTTTGAATGAGTTCATTCAGTTCTGCTCCCAAGGTGATAATACGAACAACTAGATCAAACTACAAAAACTGGAATATTGATTTTAAAAAAAATGTACATACTCCCCTCCTTCATGTTAGAACAAATAAAATCTTCAAATATCCTCTGTCATCATGAAGTAAATCAGGTTTGGGCAATGAAAACCACTGTATAATTTAATGGCTGTTCTATTATACAACATGATTTAACTACCTTGATAAAAATCAGCTGATCAATCTAACCAAACTTTAATAAAATCATAAATTTGTGCTGTGATCTCAATTATTGTCACCGGTTAAATATGATCGCCAAGCTCCTTACACAGTAAAACAAACTTGATGTTTGCCTTCATGTATAAAGCAAAACACTTAACACATAACCTTTACAAAGTTGTAATGCATGCAATATGGCTGCAATTGACGGTTGGTACAACATTCCTACTTATGAAGATCCTAGGAATGGAAACAAACTTGGCCACAATCTGATAAGCCACATGGCATGAAGGAAACATGTCACTGACTTCTTCTGGAAAACGAATATATTGTAATCATTCCCTGAGTAGTCTACTAACAGGTGCTGTATTCAAGTTTCAACCAAAACCACCAATTCAGAACTTGAAAGTCAGAATCAGCTGAAAAACACAGTAAAAGATGAATTCGAAATAACCTGTACCATAAAGAAATGTTTCATTTGATTGGTAAATATATGTGGGTGTTGGCAGTTGATAGAGTTTGAAGTGTATTGAGATAAAACTCTTAGTGGAACGATTAAAGGAATTGGCGGGTGGTGATACAATAATTAGCAGGAAGTAGCTCTGTGATGCTGGACATTTATGTTGTGAGTGCAGTAAACACTCCCATCCTCAACAGGAGGGTGCTGTGTGTGCCAGGGGGTAATCTGTGCTGGGGCCAGTCGTCACAACATAGACATAAACTACTCATTGTCAAGTACTGTTTAGGCCAAATATTGACTGCAGGCCTTATGTTTGAACAATGCTTGTTGCTGCAGAGGAAAAATGTAAATGAATTATCAGACGGGCAAGATGAAAGTGTTTCTGACCCCCTCCAACCATAGAGATACAGAGGGAAGCAAGGAGTTAAGGCACAACCCATGTACAGAAATATTAGCTCACATAAAAACTTCATGAAGATGAGTTGAACTTGGGGAAAAGGCAGCATTAATTCTAATAATGTTTCCTCTGAGACACCTTAAACATGGCCAGCATCAAACCATGCTTCAAACACTCTCATGAAATAATCAGAGTCTTCCATAAATTCTTGGAAAACCTGAATAACAGATCTTTAAAACAACTACTTCATACATCCTTGACTCACTGAAAGTTTCTGGAGCAGGGAACAAAGGGATAGTAGCTCACCTTCTTTAAACACCATTGTGGAGGCAGGGCTGGGTACTTCACCTTCTTCAATCACAATCAATGGGAAGTATAAGTTTGATGGAAACTTTGAAAAGACTTTGACAACAAATCTCACCTGCATCAATTATTCCTTGAGCCAAGATGGCACCAAACTTTGCCATAACATCTTCATGCTTGTCACTGATGACTTTGGCATACAGCTGCCGGAAGTGGGTCACCTGAAAAACAGAAACACATGTCAAATGTAAATCATGTTATACATATACCTTTGAGATATCCCCAGTACAATGTGATGCATTCAACAGCCATTCAAACACCTACAGCATATCCTGATCCTGCACTGCCTAATGAATATCCTGACCATGTGATGTGATGTGAAATTGGGTTTTATGTCGTGCTTGAGAATATTTCGCTCATATGACGACGTGCATGAGTGTGTTTGTGTATGTGCGGCTGCTTGTACTAGCCTACACTTAAGCTGGTTTTATAGTGCTAGCCCACTGAGATACCATGCCGCAGTGCAACATGAATACCCCACTAAGACACATTATACTGACTCCGAGCCGACCAGTCCTTGTTGTACCCATTAATCCCGAGCGCCAGGCAGGGACCAACAAGTACCATAGGTTACCTTCTTTTGGTATGACGCAGTCGGGGATCGAACCCGCGACCTTCCGCTCCCGTGGCGGACGCTCTAACAACTACACCACGGAGGCCCTGACCATGTACTGCTCAGTGGATATCCTGACCATGCACTGCCTACTGGATATCTTGACCATGTACAGCCTACTAGATATCCTGATCTTGCACTGCCTACTAGATCTCTTGACCATGTACTGCCTACTAGATATCCTGTCAGTGTACTGCCTACTGGATATCCTGACCATGTACTGCTCAGTGGATATCCTGACCATATACTGTCTACTGGATATCTTGACCATGTACTGCCTACTAGATATCCTGGTCTTGCACTGCCTACTAGATATCTTGACCATGTACAGCCTACTGGATATCCTGTCAGTGTACTGCTTTCTGGATATCCTGACCATGTACAGCCTACTGGATATCCTGTCAGTGTACTGCCTACTGGATATCCTGACCATGTACTGCCTACTAGATATCCTGATCTTGCACTGCCTACTGGATATCCTGACCATGACAAGCCTACTGGATATCCTGACCATGCATTGCCTACTGGATATCCTGACCATGTACTGCCCAGAGGATATCCTGACCATGCACTGCCTTGTTGATACCCTGACCATGTACTGCCTACTGGATATCCTGACCATGTACTGCCTACTGGATATCCTGACCATGTACTGCCTACTGGATATCCTGACCATGTACTGCCTACTGGATATCCTGACCATGTACTGCCTACTGGATATCCTGATCTTGCACTGCCTAGTGGATACCCTGACCATGTACTGCCCAGTGGATATCCTGATCTTGCACTGCCTACTGGATATCCTGACCATGACAAGCCTACTGGATATCCTGACCATGCATTGCCTACTGGATATCCTGACCATGTACTGCCCAGAGGATATCCTGACCATGCACTGCCTTGTTGATACCCTGACCATGTACTGCCTACTGGATATCCTGACCATGTACTGCCTACTGGATATCCTGACCATGTACTGCCTACTGGATATCCTGACCATGTACTGCCCAGTGGATACCCTGCCCATGTACTGCCATGTACTGCCTACTGGATATCCTGACCATGTACTGCCTACTGGATATCCTGATCTTGCACTGCCTACTGGATACCCTGACCATGCACTGCCTACTGGATACCCTGACCATGCACTGCCTACTGGATATCCTGATCTTGCACTGCCTACTGGATAAGATGCCAATGGGTAGCAGGGTTTGGTTTGATGGAAATCAACCTCAAATTTATCCTCATGGCAGCCAGATTAATATGAAAATTAACTGTGAACTGACCAGAAGAAACAGATGTAATTAATGGTATTGTCAGTTGTCTAATATTGAAGTGCTCAAATAATTCCTTTAAATACACATGGAGATTACATCCCTTCCCTGTCATTGAAACCCAAGTGCGTTCAATGAAATGTTGCCTAAGAATAAATATTAACAATTCAAGTACCAACTACCAAGCATAATTCAAGCAGCCTTGTCATTAAATTTATAGAGCAAAATTCTTTCTATCAAATTATGGAAAACAAATTTTTGATTATAATAATTGATTGAGAAGATGAAAGAAACAAACATTTTCCAGATGCTTCAATTATTATCCATGAACACACTTCCACCCATCAATTATCAGTCAAAAAGGTAATAAAGCTACAGAATTAATATCCGGATTTGGCAAGCTTTTATCCTAATATTATAACCACCCAAGAATCCACCTGATATATAAATCTTGTATTATTTTTAGCTTTTTTTTCAGTAAGCCAAAGGTGAAACAATATATGCTGCACAAACATCACACATCAATCATATTACCTAAAGTGACATTTCCAATAAATATATCATTAGCGTCCAAAATTGTGTTATGTACGCATGTCAAGGCATTAGCATAAAATTGATTCCCAGAAACACTTTGCCTTATAGGTGTTCTATGAAATGTGTGAGCAATGATATTGCCGATGAAATCAGGACGAGGTATAACTGTTTGATAAATGAGCTGCCCATTAACTTGTCCAGCATTGGGGAGAGAGGTAATCTGGCTGAAAATGAGTCGAAAATGGTCTTGCAAATTTCGCTGAGAAGACAAACAATTGTTCATAGTTTACTGATGTAAAAGCGCTACAAACGTTCTCCTGACTATTTCCAATAATCAATGTCATATTCACCGTCGTGAATTTATCAAACCTAAAATTGCATCTCACGAGTCGACAGGGCAAAAATTATTGGAATTTAGAGTGTTGGTTTTCTCAGTAGTTGGCAAAATCACGGTCATCAAATGACACATTCAATAGAAGCATGCAGTTGGTGAATCACTAATGGCAATACTCCCAAATAATGAGTGATCAGCATTCCAAATCAGGTTCCAAATCACAAATTATTGTTTTAGCTATAGATGAGATATTCTTAGCTAAGTGATGGACCTAACCCAATTTGGTAGAGTTTATGTGGGTCCCTCCTGAACAAATTCCCCAAACGAGCTGATTAGCACAGTGCCCAGTGATCTATAGCAGGGTAGCTGACATTAGATGTGTTTCATATGGATTGCAATAAGTAATCCAGGTCAAAGTGAATGCATTGTTTCTTTGGAATGTTAAGAGTGACACTGGTGAATACATCCCGCTTGTCCAACCACTGTATTCAAGCATATTTCTTATGAGATTGTGTACTTCATTACAGGAACTAGCTTTGATGGAATTAACTTTTATGGTTGCACAGCACTAACTTCTAGCCACTCATCCAAATGTGGTGAAAATCAATTTGAATTTAAAACAATTGCAACATGCAAGAAATTTACATTTCACAGGATTAGCTCAGTTGAACTGCAATCAATATTTTTGCACTGATCCCCTTTTACCATGGAGTTACATGTGTGTGCAACCTTGTGCATGGATCAATCTAGAGCTACAGTTTAGATATTAGTATGGAAACCTGTGTGATGCTTGATCACTAAATTCAAACACATAATTTCTTTTACTAAGACGTAGCTTATGACGACAGACATTCCAAGCTGTAGTTAGGCAGCTCCTGTCTCAATCCCATTTGTTTGTTGTTTCAAATGCTTAATGCTGCTCTCAGCAGAGTTCCAGCCACCTGGTAGAGTACACGACAATTGTTTGATATTACAAGCAACAATGACACACCTTGTGCTATGACATACAATTAACCATGTCACTGAGAGTAACCACCAAATTTCCTTCAGCCACTAATCTTCTAGTCCTCACCAGCATTAATCCTGAATCTTACAATGGCACTTTGTCATGGCCAAGTAATAAGGAAGAACAGTCTCGAGCAAACTCAGCATAACTAATCCATTGTTAGGTTGGTGATTTGGGATTAGTATTGAAGCCTGAAGAAATCACTGAGTGGTGGGGTAGCCTAGTGGTTAAAGCACCTAAGGCTGGGTTCCATTCCACACATGCGTACAATATGTGAAGCCCTTTTCTGCTGTCCCCCGCAGTGATATTGCTGGAATATTGCTAAAAGCAGTGTAAAATCCAACTCTCTCACTTACTTTTTCAAGTTCACAACTTTGGGCATGGATGGGGTCGGTGCTGACAAACAAAGCACCAACCATAAGCAGGACAAATGGGACTCAATTCCATGGTCATAAATTCTGGCATTCCCAGCAAATGAACTCTTCACAGCAAAATGCCCCAGACTAGGCCACCCTTACTGGTTGAACCAACTAACATCCATACACAGGATACAATCTGACAGGGTAAATGGACAGTCACCACTTCACAACACTTAAACTGAGGAGAAGATATTACTGCCCAATAAAATCTACCCAAAACCACAATATCCAAGTGTTTATCCACAATGCACCAGTAATGTAAGGAAGGCGAAGAAAAACACAACAAATGGTCAGTCCCCGTTGGTAGCTTTAGCTGCAGCTCATTTACAACAAACACATTAGTTAGTAGGCCTGTGAAGCAGGCAGATGGTATCCCTGCTTGTTTTCACTGAAACTCACAAGGTGCTGATTGCTTAATGTCCACGCTACAGCCGACATATTGCACCGGAACCATCCTTCTGTTCTCTTCGGACTCAGGTAGTTGCCAGGTTCTTTCTTGGGTTTTTCCTGCTGAGGCTTAGGCCATTAATGCAAGGAACAGGCTATTAGCAGATACTTTGAGCCTGCTTGATTTGTTGGCAAGACAGATGGCCACAAGATCAATTTATGATCTAAAAGAAATGAAAAAAGTTCAAGTCAAGTTCAAGGAGAGGAGGACAATTGAGAGCCTCATAAATTTGGCCAATTACTTGGAAGGTAGCAGCATAGACTTAGGGACTTCCTTTCCAACCAATCAAGATCTGATAAACTTTGTAGAAGCAGATATACCATCAAATGGATACTAACTGCGGCATTGATTAAACACGTGAAATGGACAATTTTCTCTGTGACCACATACTATCCCAACATTCTCAAGTACCAGCAAACTGTTATATTTTATGATGATGTTTCTTTTAAATATACTGAAGACAAATGGGAAATCACAGCATGAAGGAATGTGTTACAGTCAATGCTAAAACTGTCCGATCTAGCAGACTGAACTTTACTTTGGGAAACATCTCCAGTACACATTCATTACAGCAGACTATGAGTTTTAATCAGTTAGATTCATGTTTCAGTATGATTGTAGACTAAGTGCCGTCAGCATATGACAAAGCACTTTCTGTGTACTGCATTTTTCCTATAAACAAAGGAGCCATTACCCAAATCGGAAAACAGTCCATTAAATGATTGTAAAGTTAGTTACTGGATGAACAAATTTGATGCGGGACATTTTCCCCAAGTTCAAGAGATGCAATTTTTGATAACTTTCAAATCAAAAATATCAAAATAGAACTTTGCACTGCACGTCTCCTACAGATATGGAGGGTGATCCCCAAATTTGAAAATGTGTTCAAGTTATTGGTTGAACAATAATTTCCATGTTGTTTTAAGTTCAAAATATGTACGGTGACACAATTGTTTTAAAAGTTAGAAAATTGGGACTCGCACTGCACTTCTTCTGTAAACAAAGAAGCACTTTTCCATACATTTTGACCAATACTTTTCATGTTAATGGTTCAACAAATTTTTTAAGTACAAATTTGTAAATTGCTGTAATTCTTAAACAAAATTTAACACGTCCCAATCAAAATTTGCACTACATCTGCCCTTTAGACAAAGGTGGTCCTCAAATTTGAGAACAATCCAACCCATAATTTTCACTTCATTGTTGAACAAAACTGTCTTCAGATGAATTGGTATAACTACATACAGAACAGATGGTACTGACCGAACCTAAAAAACCAAGAAGACAAAGTCATCAATATCCCTTGCTATGTCAAATGTGTTGGCGTGTATATAGCTAAGTGGAAGGAGAGTACTGAAAGGTTTCGAAGTTCTGCTCCAGAAAGGAGCACTACCATCAAATTCAGTTGAAGTCAAAATTGTTGCCATGGAAACACACAATTTTTTTAATTTTATTCAGAAATCCACAACTACCAAAAGGCACCAGTTCACCACCAGATCTATCTATGTGCCAAGTTTGGTGAAGACATTGAACGGTTTTAGAGTTCTGCTCCGGAAAAGAGTACTACTACTACCACCAATTTCAGTCTAAGTCAACCTTTTTATTCGTGAGTGCGACGTTCTGATACAGATTCTTGTACCGTTGTCAAGCATAATGATTATGCCATCAACAGCCATTATAAAAAAAACGAACCAAGTGTGGATTAGACAAACCAGTGGTTGATAGCATGAGCAATATTCCCTATCATTACGGACCCAATGACACACAATCAGCCAGGTCACACATCTCATAAGACTTGTGTACAGAGGACCTAACAATCACAGAAAACACGGGGCAAGTACACAATAAACTTGTAACAAAATTTATATTTGGGATTAAACTTTCTCAGTAAATCCTTTCTGATGAGTCTCGTTCAGGATTTGAACCACACTCTCAAAGTCTGGCACCTAATCACCAACCCACAATGCCAACAATTTAACCGACTCAGCCACCACAGCTTTCACAAAAATGGACGAACAACTGTTACTCCAGATCACATACTTTGCGTAAAAAAGAGTTGTGTCTTTTTTTAACAAAGAAAAAGTACTAGAATCTGTACATTGCTGAGAAATTGTAATCCCAAATATAACATGTTACATTTGACCACTTTCTAGAAGGCATTCATGCCATTTAATTGTTTGTTAACTTCTGGACTGACACATGAATAAGTGAATGAAATTTTAGCTGTGTGAGAATTACAAGACATGCAAGTTTCTAAGCACCAGTCCTTGTCTAACCAACTCCAAAGAAGATGAGGATCACGATGTTTAACAGTGATCACGTAAAGGTTTGTCCTGCATCAATTTGGCTGACTATACCATCAGCATAAGACCAGCAGTGATGTCATCAGTTTCTCTGTTCCAAGCTTGATTGCTTGCCTAAACTCTTGCTGAGACCCCCTGGCTCACATCCTGTATTTCTCACTACCATATTTGTTACAAACACTGGTTCAGACTGTGCAAGAACTAAAGCTGAAGCATACCATAAATATGTGCATACTAATTATAGCAGGTCAACCCATGACTATAATTTACAAATCTGCCACCAAACTGACAATTTCAAAGCATTGTTCTATCCGGTCATCTTCCTTCCATTGGCTGGCCATATGTTGACACAGGGTACTCTTCAACAGGTTAATTTTGTGCAGCATTAGCTGTGCAGATCTCATGACTAAAAGATATGACATAATCATTGTATTTAAAAGATGTTTAGGATACAATGTTGAGAGGCTGAAGGTGGGTCTGGTTGAGACTGACAGGGGATCAAAGCGTCTAGCACCCAGATAGCATGCCGATTACGTCTCAAGCTGCGCTAAATTGAAGGATAACATCTCTCATTAAAACCGAGACCTACATTACAGCAATTTTCCGCAACATCAGTTACATACAGCAAATGTGTCTAATGTGTCAAACACACAATCCATCTGCCTGATTATACTTCACTCCAAACTTCATGTTATGAGTGGAAAATAAGTTGGTACGTCTGCTCCGAAGGTTTCAAAAGGTACTTTCATCCTAAATTAATTCTCATATCTATATCCCCATCAATAAATTCAATCAAGCAAAACATTTGCGTAATTAGGAATACAGCACTTTGAACTAAATTGATTACACTCCTAAACTTTCATTCAATCAAATTAATTTTTGAAACCTATAATCCATGTGATTGAATGGGATTCAGGTTCTTCTTGTGACCTACTTATCTCAAGTTGTGGTCGAACTGATATTGCTTCATTTGAATATTCTTTCCCCAACTGTCTCTTTTGAGTGGACTGTAGCATTCTCTATATTCTTGATCAACTGATGCAAATAATTCCTCAATCTATAACAAACCATCAAAGTGGACTGGCAAACACTGGACAGCATGCAGTTCAATAGCTTATCTTCAAACTATATCCCTCATTTGGCAATCACTAAATTTACTATCTCTACATATGAAATATCTGGTATTCTGCAATTTCCCTGATTTGCCAATCACTAAATTTACCATTTTCACATATGAAATATTTGGTATTCCGCATGTCCATGGAGGAATGATAAGGAACAAGAAATTTCCATAAATGACTTCTCCTGTCGGCCTATTCAGAGTTTCATCGTGAGACACAAATGAAATATACTGGATGTTAGAATGATTGATGACTATTATCACAGAGATGCAGTGGCATGGCATCTCTGACCCAACAATGTCTGCCTCATACAAGCAAGATTTACTTGGAGTTTTTACTCTAGAAGAAACTCCAGTTGTTGTTTGGTTTTTCTTTGTGAATGCTTCCCTGATTACCGTCTACTGTTACGGCAAATTACTAGTGATGAGCCTTACAAGAAGCGTGATTGGACTTGTTTCCCAGCTGCCTTGGTTGATTACATGGAAACCAATAAACTATGGAACTTCAGGGCAGGTTTTATACACTCAATTGTTTTTGAAAAATGATTACTGTCAAAATTGTTTGATTTTAGATAAAGAGAGAATGAATGCAATGTCATCTTTTAAAAACAGAAACTGAACATTAAAATACATTGCAGTTACTTATCCAAAGGACAGCCCCCTGGGATTACAACAAATATATTTTTAAAGGGATGGATTGGAAATACCCAGATGAATTCCTTGCAATATGTCACATTATGAGGTGCTTGTATGCAAAATATGTGTATCTGGAACTCAGAGAAAGTGAATACGGAATATTCCAAGATGGTTTAGAATGATGAAGTCGGGATTGAAGACACTAGTGAGTGAGATCAACACAAAAATGCACAAGTGGAAGCATGGAGACACACATTATCCCTACTTTAACTCTGTAGACAAGGTACTCGGGACTTCATGAGACTCGGAACTTGTACAGGACTCAGCTTTACCATGTAACTTACCTTGGGGCATGTGACTTCATTCTGCTGGACCAGGATGAGAGCAGAGGCAATGAGTGCTCCCTGCCCGGACATAGTTGATTGGATCTTGGACCATGGGTTCCAGTAGTGTCATCGCTTCCTGTAACACAAAACACAAAGTGTCTTACAGTCCCATGTCAATGATGAACTCATCATATCTGTCAGTCAGTAAAACCTAGAAAAGAAAACAGACTATGTTCTGAGGAACATGCATACTATGACAATAGAGCCATACCATGATACTACACCTGTACCTTATGTACCATCAATAGGTGTGTTCCATGAGTATAGATACATGACATCAGTGAAAATATTTACCATGTGACTACCTTTCCATTTGTACCATGAGACTAGATCTGTACCATGAAACAGATATGTACCATGTGAATAGATCTACGCAGTACAAATAAATTTGTACATGAGACAGTATATGTCCCATCAGTAAAGGTGTGGCCCTCGAGTCAACATATATGAACATATGTATTTACCAAGTGTATAACACTGTACCAGGACAAACACTGATTCAGGTGCAACACAAGGCTAAGTGGATATCACTGACAAGGTGAGGAAGGAAACATATGGTTTAATTGATAATTTCTGACTGATTGCTGCATTTAACAACATTCCAATGTAGATCGTTACACTGTCATCTCGCTAAATGTCTTTAAATGCAAGTGAGTAAGAAGTTGATATCCATACAGCTGTGTCTTTCCTGACCCACCAGCTTCTAGGATGATAGTGTAACAGTGGAAAATCATTCATGAGACATTACATATACTAGGTTCACAATACAGAAACAGTTATGTTATCAGAGGGCTGTGTAAGATCAGAAATTCATCTCAATGACGTTCTCTTTGGCTTCTATACAGCTGGGATAAAGTTAAGCACCCCCTGAAGATGCTGACAGCTAACAGAACTATGTTCAAGATCAGCCTGTGTATCATGATACGTATGATAATAATGTTCATTGAAGAAACCACTGGAAGTGTACTTGATGGAGAGTATCTCCCAAAGCACCCTGTGGAGCATGTCCAGAAGCAAACCCACAAATTTTCACCAGTGCAAGATATGCATGTGCTACATATTAGTATTCAATCTGCATGGGTTACAATGTCAGTCGTTTTTCTACCACTATGGTACGAAGGAGATTATCAGATGGCAAAATATTTGTATGCTTAACTCCAGTATGACCTTAAACACTATTGGTCGGGAAATGACTGTCCACTATAGTCTGTTTGCAGTGAAAACGTACCGATGATTTCACTTTAAACAAAAAAGTAAATCGAATAAAGTGAAATAAAGATTGCGAATCGTCACAATTTTACCTTGTCAATTGAAAATTTAGGTCTCAGAATTTTATTCAACTTAGGATAAAAGTTGTTTAACAAGCGATCATGGTTTCAAATCACTATTGTTGGTTTGTATTACATGGGGTATGCACTTTAAATGAAACACTGAGAACAAGTTGGGTTGGTCTATGTTAACGCTCATCACGTCCCGCCCGTGCATTTGTTTCACTGTTCCAACTACTGCGCTTATCCCCTTGTAATACAACCCAATTATAGTGATTCGACTCTATGATCGTTTGTTAAACAACTTTTATCCTAAGTTGAATAAAATTCTGAGATTTAAATGTGTTAATTGGCAAGGTAAACTTATGAGGATTCGCAATCTTAATTTCACACTATTTGATTTACTTTTTTGTTTAAAGTGAAATTCATCAGTACGTTTTCACTGCAAACAGACTATACACAGTGGTCACAGGTCAAGAAATACAGGGAAATTAATGAGGTGAAGGATCTCCCATGTGCTGGGTGACCCAAGGTGACATCAGATCATGAAGACAGGGCACTATTGAGGCTCACTCCACAATAACCATTCACCACAAGCAATGTTCTCAGGCACCAATGGTTACCATTTTGCAGAGACGCTAGCGAACCATGCTACAATTAAACTGACCACTTACATTCTTACAGCAGAAAAGACAGTTTAGTGATAAGATCTCAACACACAGTATGATTATTCTGGTGTACAGAGTAACATCAAACCCCCAAAAGCTACTGCTGACATATGACAAAGATTTCAGTTGAGCTGGAGGTTATGTATGAAAGTACTAGGATAGACATATTTCTTAATGTTTATAGTATACCATAAAAAATTTAGGGTCCAGCCCCCTTGGCTGGTCACACTGAGTACATAAATGGTTACAAACATACCCTTGAGACCTGTCCCAAACTGGCCTAGATATCAAACCCCATGACCTACATATTGGTCTCTACGTCCTAGATATCCTTCCAATGGTCTAGATATCCCTGGTATGGAGTAGATATCCATCTTAAAACCTATATAGTCATCCCTTGGACCTTGCTGCCTGACACATAGGCTAGGTCTGTGCCCAGAAAATCAAGATCATTGACAGTAAGCTTAAACACCTGGAGCAAGACTTCAAAACCTGATGGCCAATGGCTCATGATTCGAACAACCTTCTCTTGACGCAAAACATTTGTCTGTACCTGCTGTGAAAGTGTATAACGGCTGACGTAAATGTTCCAGTAGCTGACCTAGACATCGGATCCATTCTATGACCCATTAATCTGCACCTTTCCATGACTAAAACAGCCGCCTCTGTAACCTCCAGGTGTCTACATGCTGTCAGAATGTGTCTCGTTCTTCAATATCCTCTAGTCATTGACAAAGCAATTTCCATCAACTTTGCCTGATTTTCCAGCTCAACAGTCTAAGTGGCATGTCAGGATATTGGTCCAGGATGGCTGCAAGAATGAAATCGTCTAAGAGGAGACCACAATTATTTCCAACAGGTCCCTTGGGAGAAATTAGACGCAACTTTTCATGAAACTGTCATGCATTATTTTTTGCCTGGTTAATGGACACAATAGGGTGGATGGTACTACAACGGGGCTCTCGATATAACCACAGTAAAAGTGCCATTACTCATTTACTCGTAACAGATCTCACTCCTGGCAAGGTCGTTGTGATGAAGCTTCTGCCATAATCCACTGTAACTTTAAATGTCAATTTGATAAATAATGCTGTAATGCTATTATGGCTGTTTTCCATTACCTGCGTCTCGCTCAGGGATGCACAATGGGTTTGTGCCATGCTCAAACCAACTCCAATACAAGTTTCTTACAGAGAGAAATTAAATTGTTGACAACTTAATCATTTATATCACAAACCAGTGACTATAACTTATCAGCCAACGACAAATATATACAAAGTAGAAGCTAAAATTGAATAAAATAGTATTTATTGTGTTTCTAGGTATTCAAATTACACGAATATTAGATTACGATGGCATCAAGAATGAATATATTTCACTCTCTTCTATTATTAAAAATTCAAAATTTAGTTTGAAGTAATTAATTTACAACATTTTCTTTCTGTGGGATTACTTGGGAAATGAAATAGATTCCATCAAAAACTCCCCTGTTGCTATCAGTGATCATCCGTCCACTGAATGAAATGTACTCAATGCCTTCTCCATGATCTGGTACAAACTTCCACCAATGATGACTGAGGATCAGTAAAGTCTTCTCTCTTCAAGGATGAATGTGGTGAATGAGTGAATGCTGTTTTAAGCCTGTAATTTGTCAGCTACACGATTCCAGATCCAATGTTTGATGAAAACAACCAACAGACTACTTGAACTGTTGCAATTTACAAATAAAAACTAGATATTTTCAGATTCCTTTTTCACTAGTTTTAGTATTCAATTAAAAATAGTTGAGTTTTACATGTTACCCTGTTTTACTGAATGTAATACAGTAAATACATAATGTTTAACAAGACTGCAAATACAAAAAATGTATCAGTTTCTTTTCAAAGTAAAGCACAAGGAGAGCCACCTGACACAGTACTACAACACATCATATCATCTGTTTCCTGACAAGCCCACTGTAGGGCTTGCTGGCTGTGACAAAATTCAACAAGTTAAGGTTTCCCCCCATAGACAGTAGTCAAGCTCAATACATAATAACTTTCCAGTTGATAAAAGACAATTTCGAGGTGACATTCATTTCCATTCCACCTACAACATGTTACATCATACACATGTGAACCATCTCACCCATCACCACTAGTTAGTGAGTATGGTTTTACACCGCTCTTGGCAATATGTCAGCAATATCACAGTGGAGGACACCAGAAATGTGCTTCCCACATTGTGCCCATGTGGGGAATCGAACCCGGGTCTTCGGTATGACGAGTTAACACTAGGCTACCACACTGTCCCCCAAGGATAGAGTAGGGCTCTACTTCTGTGTCTCTTTTCCCTGCTTCATCCACCTTTCATTTACTTCCAAACTAAATTTCTCTGTTATGTAAAGTGAGCACACTTTCTGAATTCATTTATTTCTGCAGCAATTCTGATTAGGCATTTTCTTACAATTTCAGAAAGATGTAATACTAGTTGTTTGCCAAAGCTTGTAATTTGCTGAAAGTAGTGAATGATCATAAACATAAAAATAGGTCACATTAAATTGATCTTTAATCTATTCAGTTGAAAATGAAACCTTTTGTGTCTGCACGAATCATTTTGAAGAACAATGTATTGTATGATGTGCAAGCCATTTCTTTTACAAAATGGTGATATAAGCTTTTTCACTCAAAATGAATATTTCATATTATCATGACTCAAGGTAAATCAAAGTCAAATGAAAGTCAACACTATCTTGACCATACATCACCAAATGACTGTTACACAACTATACTGACATTTAACCAGTGTCCTCTGTCAGTGGCAAAATGTCATCCTACAACATGGATTCAATGACATCTTGTAGTGTATTGTGGAGACTCGCATTGTGTGCTTGTTCAACTGTTCCCTGCTCCCTAACACACAACATGAACACCTGATCATGCTGAAAAAGTATATTTCAGCACATGAACTCCATGAGCTTCCAACCAAACCCCACACCACACCACCAAGCTGTAAGTAACCAGGTCATATCATTGCCCTGATATATTACCTCTTTGTTTGACTACATATGCTCCCCGTCTGACTACATGGGCTCCCATTAACCTCCCAGACTCACTACACCAGCTCCCTGTCTGACTACATCAGGTCCCAGTAATCCCCTG